AAACGATCTGGTCCAATACACCGCTGCAACACATTAGCGCGCACGCCCTTTGTGCATGCGCACAAAATACACAGTTGATAGCAGAGAGGGTAGAAAGCTGTTCGGCCAGGGCAGAATTCCAGGAACGCTCAAAAAAAGTCCTTTTTCCGCCAGCCCACGTAGCAGGTGAGAAATACACGTCCAAACGCCATGGATATTGGCATCTGCTGTGTAAGCTGAAATGGCTCACTGCTTCGAAATATCAGTCTTGCCAACTTGGCTACCACATACTTTTACCCAGAATATATGGAGAAAGATCCTTGCGTCGAATTATGGCCCTGCAAACTATCCCATGAAGCCGATTTGTAAATCAGCGGCATAAGTACCATGAGCTATGCGCCGCGCGCGCATTGCATATCTGGGAGCAAACAGTTGCCCCCGCCAGGATTGTATGTAGCGGTACAGCTAAAGGAATGTGGCCTACCAGGTTAGCAAAGAACGTATATTCGCAACAACTGCTGGAACCACTTCACTACACAGGCCAAATACCATGCGTTCCGGTCGGTATTCTCGCTCGTCTAGCTGCTTGAAAAGCATTGGAACGCTCCGCTTCTGGAATTTTCTGTGCCGAACGCCTTTCTTACACCTTCTCTTCTATCACTGTGTGGATTTTGTGCATGCAAAGCGCCCGTAACCTGCTGCGCGTTATTAGCCCCCTCTAGTACGTAATACCCGCTTACATTAAACTGCGCCCTGGCTATAGCATCAGCACTTACGAATGCCTCAGGACCAACTTACTCCAGCCAGTCAGCTCGGAACTAAGTGTATTTTCCGCACGTGTGGGGCGTGGCATGGTTGTGTTTGGTTGCAGTGCTGGACAAAAACATGTGCTTGTCACAGCTAACAAATTAATAATCAGCTAATTGTTCATCTTTTCATGACAAAACTAATTAATTACAATCTCTTTTGGATCGCCCTTAAAATTTTGTTTAGCTTGACAACCAACACGTTTTTGTCACAACCACCCAACCGCCCATCCCCTCCACGTGCGGAAATACATAGCTTCCCCGCTTGACTGGCGCTGCTGCCAGCCGCCGCCCAGAAATGGCCGTATTGAAGTTGCGCCCAAATCGAGATGTGTGTTCCCACAAGACAATTACCGCAAGTTATTGACCATTGCAACGCATAGTTTTAAGAGCGCCTTCAATTTTAGTAGCTGATACTAACTTAAAAACTGCTCATACGCTCACGACAATTTCGGAGCACAAGCAAAGTAGTAATATTGCGTTGTGTTATTTGTACAAAAATAAAAATGGTTTATGAAACATACAATTTAGCTTTCTATTTATTTTCCATGCCTATATACCTTCTTTATATCTCCCTAATGCCGGTGCATTCGATGCCTAACCAAACCGTTTTCGATTCAACAACAACGCCAATGAATTCGAAAAATATTGGTGTGGCGCCCAGCACCGCAGCTAGCCATTAAGGAACAAGTATGCGGGCGGTAAACGAGCGCCATTTGGCACAAAATTATTGTGCAGCCCATGAAATCCCTTTGTAAACTTAAGCGGCGAGTTTCTCATATATCTTCTTTTCTGCTTTTTACTCTTTCTTTCTTCCGATTGCACTGTTGCCCAATTGTTTATCGCTTATAGTTATTCTAGCTTTGATCCATCCTGAAGGAATGTCACAAACATTTTGTACGGCCCCCAGACAAATTTAAAAACAACAAAGACATTCGCAGAGTTTTAATAAATAATTTTTCAAACATATATACAACCAGGCCCTTTCAGATTTGAAAAGTACAGCGAGGACGTACTAAATGACTCCCCTAGCCGACACATAGGTGGTCTTTTCAACGCTCCATATCACACCTTAAGAGGCATGATCGAGAGCCTCCACTAAAAAAATCACACCCTTAAGAGGCACTATGGAGAGCCTCACTAAAAATCACACCTTTAAAAGGCTGATGATGGAGAGCCTCCCTGCAGGGCTCTCCATCATGCCTCTTAAGGGGTGTGATGATGGAATCATGACCATATCCTCAGTGCTTAGAGGCTTGAATCCAAAACGAAAATTGGTCCGATGTACATGTCAATCGTACTGATTATCCATTCATCTTCACTTCATTTCAATTTCCAATGCCTTCACTCAGGATTACAATTCTTTCATACCAACAACCAACACCTAGACACACAGATTCACTAAAAGCACGATTTGACGGAGTGTAAAATAAACTTTGCTTTTATTTATTCTGATTTCATCTTAGAGATTCTCATCCCGTGCTACCTGCATATTTCAGCACAAATCATTCATCACAATCATCAACAATACTAGCCCAAGAAATTACCTTGATACGTAGTAGCCACGTTATGTTATGGCCCCTCCAGCCCTACGACTGCCTTTCACGTCGGCCCCAGAAACAACTCACATTTTTCGCCACTGGTATAGTAGAAAACAGCCAGGTAACTTTGGCGCTACCCGCGTATAGAGGCCTACCTCGGCTACCTGTTGGCCATGCTTGTTTGGTTTAGTTGCTATTTATATATATATATCAAACCAGCAGGCGTAGCCTAACCAGCGGGCGTAGCATTCATCCAAGCGGCGGTTACGCCAATAATTTATTTTGCGTAAATCTTGTGTACGCCAAATCGACGTTGTAGCTTGCCGACTTCATCAACACAGCTTCATTTAGCTAAACCTTTCGCCCGTACATTTTTCAGGCCGCCTCACGCCCAAGCTGAGCGCCCGGCTTTTAGTGCCCGACTTTCATTCAAGCCCCTAAAATTTACGCTAAACCTCTTCTAAACTTTTTTACCACGCACGCTGACCGACGGTCGCCGTAAACACTTGAATATTTCCGGGCTTGATAAAGGTGGGTTGTCCACAGGTGACGCGGCCCCCAGATACATTATTTTATTGAGGCAAACCATTATAAAATACTACTTCAACTAAAAATAAATAAATAATTACTATACTACCACGAGACCCCTGTTGAAGTGAAGTTATTAGGTCAAATCAAACATTAAGACTATTACTGGTACTGGTACTGGTAGGGCTAGTAGTAGTACTGACAAGTTGTATTTATTAACCATCATTTTATTATTGAAATGGTCCAAGTGCCTGTGGCTAGAATTGCGCTGGCGTTACACTAGCTCTAGTACTATAGCCCGCGTACAGTTGCCACTGTACGCGGGCTATAGTACTAGAGCTAGCGTTACACTACACTTTGAGTCACTGTCAAACATTACAATTTACATTGAAAGCTGCCTTTCACTTTCAGAAAACGATAGGCCTAGAAAGGTTTATCTCTCTGTTCACTTAAAGTTCATTTTGAAAGTTATATGTAGAACATGAATGACTGCATTGTTTCAGGATACCCTTGCAAATTTAGAACGACAAATCTATGCGTTTGAAGGGAGTTACCTAGAAGATACGCAACTGTATGGCAACATCATCCGTGGTTGGGACAGATACCTCACAAATAAGTATGTTTG